GCTCAGGCTGTTCGTTCATAGGGTCGCTATGAGTTGTCTATTAAGCAACAACAACCCTCACTATCAACAGTGGGGTCCTGTTAACCACTCAGGTACACTGCAGGGGGCCTTGAAGGAAATCCAAACTATTGATTTAGACTACTTAAGAAGTTGTGAGTTGAAATGATAAGCTCAAAAGGACTGGTGGCAGCCTGGGACATTTTGGGTGCATAATACCTCTTGTAAGCAGCCCAGCTGAGTACCTACCCGCTGTGATGCCTTCCCAAGGCACAGACGACAGATTAGAGTGAAAATAGAAGATCCGGTCAAACTGACTTGTAGCTACCTTGTAGAGAATTGACAGGAAAATATCCCCAAAGGGACCAAGTGTGGGTAGTTACTTGCCAGAGAAACTGAGAAGACCCATGGTGTCATTAGACATCACATCCCAGCAGGTCACAAAAAGATCTGTGACTTGCTTGGCAGGCTTCAGGTTCTCCAGGATTTGTGATAAAGAGCAGGGTGAAGGTAGAGAGGTCGCTGCCTGGGCCCTCCCTCCAAGATTGCAGCAGAGATGTGCCCAGGAGGCAGATACTGTCTGAACTACCTTTGGGGAGGTTAGATAAGCCTGGATGAGCAGCACAGCAACTTCTACTCGTGAAGTTCCTTAGTGTGCAGTCAATTAGGACAGAGGGAAGATGGGCCTAATTAGAACACAGTATGTGTAGTGCGGGGTAAGAAGTCTATTTAGAACACAGTATGTGTAGTGCGGGGTAAGAAGTCTATGAAGGAGATGGTCCAGCGAAGTTCTGTCTTCGCAAGAGACCACTCAGACTCTCCAGGCTCTGGAGAGAGAAGTCTGGGAGTGTCCCTCTGATGAGGTTGGGATACTAATGCTTCACTAGGAGACAGGGTGGGATGATAGGAGTAAAGTCCACATAATATGGACAAATGGTTTATTGATTTCAAAGAGCCTGATAATAAACAAGGAAGCTTGCAAAAATGTGGCTACTTGGTCTACTGCTCAGAGAAACTATCTGGAATCTCTGTTGTGTCAAGATTGGGGCCAACACCTGGGTATTGATGTTTCAGTTGTCTCCACAGTGACTAAATTATTGTCCAAATTAGGGTGCTTCTGAGAGTCAAAAGCAGCCTTAGTAGGGGAGCTCTGGTGGCCTAGTGGCAAGAAGCTGCAACTACAATCCCAGAGGTACACGGTTCGAATCCACCAGATGCTCTGCCGGGGAAGGAGGGGCAATCTCCTCCTGTACCAGTCAGATCTGATTTGATGGTACATGCATACAAATATAATAAAATAAAACAAAATTAAAAAAAAAGCAGCCTTAGTCACACAGTGAGTTAAAGCTGAACTACCTGTAAGGTTAGTGGTTCAAATCCACCAACTGTTCTGCAAGTTAAGGAGTCTGCTCCTGTGTCAGAATCTCCCTTGGGCTATTCTGTTCTGTCCAAATCAATGAGTTGGAATCAACTTGATATCAGCATGTTTTGGTTGGAATCAAAGAGGGAGGTAACAAAAACAAACAAAAAACCAAGAATAAATATAAAGGAGTATTTCAGGAGAGCAGAGCTAACACAGTTATTCCATGCATGAATCACATGGTGAAGAATGCAATCTTTGTGGAAGAGTCATACAATTTAGGTGGGACTGTACCAATTCCTTAGCTGTTTTCAAGAAAGCTTGGGGGGGGGGTGTTTAAGAAGTTAAAAAATTGATTTACATAGCAATTGAAAACTGGTAGTCAAGCTCCTGCACACAAAATACCAAAGGATCCCTACTCTCAACAGACAAAAGAGTTGAAACAGCCCAAATGTCCATGGACACAAGAATGGATAATCATATCATGAAATATACACAAGACAGAATATTATTCAGCCATAAAAGATAAATGAACCTTGAAAACATTATACTAAGGGAAATAAGCCAGGCAAACTGTATGTAGGATTTCATTCATATGAAAATCAGAATAGGTAAATTCTGAAGAGGTAAAGAGGGTAAAAAATCAGAAAAGTGTGAAAATTGGTGGTTGCTAGGGACTAAAATAAACAAGTCTGTCTTGGAGGAAGTACAACTCTAAGGAGTGCTCCTTAGAGGCAAGGACAGTGAAACTTCACCTTGCATACTTTGGGCATGTTGTCATAAGGGGCCAGCCCTTGGAAAAGGACATGCTGAAAGGCCAAGGGTCAGTGAATGAGGAGAAGACTCAACAAGATGCAGTGACACAGTGACTGTAATTATGGGCTTGAACATACTGGATATTGAGGATGGTGCAGGATAGGATCAGGTTCAGATCTACTATTCATAGGATGACCGAGTTGTAGTCGTCTCAAGGGCACCTAACAGCAACAACGGGAACTAAAAAGAAAGGATGAGGAATAACTGTTGTAGTTAAGTGCTGTCAGTCGCAGGCGACTCACAGCAACCCTATGAAGGAGATTCCTCGAAGCTTGGGTGCTACTTAATGATAAAATTTTTTTTAAGAGACAAACAAAAACTCAATGCCTTCGAGTTACTGCTATCCTCCCTCAGGTTTCCAGGCTGCAAAATCTTTACAGGAGAAGACTGCCTTTCTCCTTTGGAGAGATGGGCAGATTCAAATCACTAACTTTGGTTCTCAGGGTCGCTATGAGTCGACTGCCTAGGACTCGATGGCTCTTAACAACAACAATATGCTAATCATTACTCCACTATTGCTCCTTGCTAAGTAATGGGCTTATAGGGAGATGAAAAATATTTTAGAACTATTTCAAAACTGTGGTTTCAGAATATTGTGAATATACTGTCATGAAATTGTTCACTTTATAAAATAGGTAGGCATACAAGCCAGGCTTGTTCTGCCCAGTTACATCTGACATCTAAAGCAAATTCTTCATAGAAGAAAGATGGGAAATCTCCTCTTGTGCAATTTACAGCTTTGGAAAATTTGCTGAAGTGTTAGGTGATATGATCCAACTTCAAAGCAATGAGCTTGAGTTTTTGTCATTTCAATAATTTAAAAATGTACTATTCAATGACAATTAAACTACTACATTCCCAAATGATTTTAATTTCCCAAACAGAATATCAGTGCTCCTAAATAACTTCCCATTTTACCCTAATCTGGTTATCACTAAAAAAAGTTTCTCTACAATCCCAGAGGCTCACGGTTCAAATCCACCAGATGCTCTGCCGGGAAAGGAGGGACAGTCTCCTCCTGTATCAGTCAGATCTGATTTGACGGTACACTCACACAAAAATAAAAACAAACAAAAAAAAGTTTCTATGTATGTATGCATACTCTAGAAATTTTATTAAACCAGTAAAACAAAACCTAAATAGTTACAAATTAAAACAAACCAACTGAAGATGTCTTTGTCTTATATCAATTTGGGTCTCATTCTTCTTAACATACACTAAATTCCGATCCACTAGTAATTAGTATTAGGTTGTTTTTATGTACCATATGCTCCAGGGCGTATTTCAGAGCCTATAAATCACATGAGAGATTACTCATCTTTCTCCCACAGAGCAGCTGAATTTGAATTTGAACCATGAGCCTTTGGGTTGGCTGTGCAACACCTTACTACTAAGCCACCAGAGCTCCCAATTGGTATTAGGGGACGAGACATAATTTGTTATTCCAAACATTGGAAATCATGGAATGATACAAAGCCAAAGTTCACTTTATTCTTCATGTGTCATATGAAAGACTACAGTTAGCCCCAAGGCTGCACAGCAGCTTACCTTTCCAAGGCAGACAACAGCTCATCAGGAAAGTGACAGCAAAGTCTAGTTACTCCTACTGACAGTATTTTCAGCCACCCAGACACAAGGGAAAAGTCCCTTGTCCTGGCACCATAGTTAGGCCAGTCTGAATCAAGTTGGCTGGGGCAAAGGCTCTCTCACTGAGGACTTGAGTCCTGGAAGGCTTCTCCTCCGGCGAGCTGCCAGCTCAATTTTCTGAACTAGGCTCACATCCCACGGATGGGTTACAAAGCTGATGACGGTGCCTGGTACCTGGCTCCCTACACGGCCCACCCTTCCCGCTCTGTGAATATAGTCCTGCAGGGTGAAAGGGAAATCGTAATTGACAACCAGCTCCACGTTGATGCTGTCCAGGCCCCGAGAGGCTATGTCTGTGCAGAGAAGTATGTCTTGGGAGCCCTTCTGGAAGCTTTGGAAGATGCCTGCCCTCATTGAGGCTGGCATTTGTCCCTGCAGCCGTAAGTGCTGGATTTTGTGGTCATCCAGAATGTATCCCAGCCAGTTCACAGTGGCGGAGCTATTACAGAACACCAGAACGGTTCCTGTGTGGCCAGTCCTACTTGTTTTGTGATGCTGCTTGAGGATTTGCACCAACTCAGTTACCTTCTCTGCTCCCTTGAGCTTCATAAATGTTTGTTTGACATGAGGCATGATGCAGTGGAGATTGGAACTGGTGATGGTAGTGAGAGAATCTGCGCTAGTGACTTTACTCAGCAGCTCGCCCACACCTTCAGGAAATGTGGCTCCCACCAGCACGAGTTGAGCTTTGAAACTGAAAGGATCTTCTAAGTCAGCCGGCTTTTCTGCTATCTGGCTCCTCCCCAAGATGTAATGTACCAGTTCCAGGAAGCTTTCATCCAGCAGTGTGTCTGCTTCATCCAACACCAAGAAGGAAAGCTGTTGCAGGCTGACGAGTTGACCTTTCAAGGCCTTCCACAGCGCCCCTGGAGTGGCCACTAGTACGTGTGCTAGAGTTTGTTTGGACAGCTGCAGCCTCATCTTACTCATGCCACGACCTCCTCCAAACTCCTGCACCTGCAGGCCCAGGGAGGCACCTAATGGCTCGGCAACAGCTCGTACCTGTTCGGCCAATTCTCGGGAAGGAACGAGGACTAGGCCCCGGGGTGCAGGAACATGGTGAGCGCACACGCTAGGACGAACCAAGAGACGCTGAAACAGCGGTAGGAGGTAGCTAAGAGTCTTGCCACTGCCGGTCTCCGCGGCGCAAAGGATGTGGCGGCCACGAAGTAGCGGTGGGATGGTGCTCAGCTGCACAGTCGTTGGGCGAATGACTTCGGGTGCAGCTTTCCGCAATGCATGCAGCACCCGGGGCTCCAGGCCCAGGTTCGCAAAGCTGTCCTCCGAAGAGAGCTTGCGCAGCGAGGGCGCTTCGTGCTGCGCGCGCTCGATGGAGAAGTGATCTCCCCGCGCACGTCGGCTCTTCCAGCCACGCGAGGCAAGAGGCGCGCGCTCCCAACGGCCCAGCGTGAGACGAGCCGGCTGGTTCAGCTCTGGTCGCCGAGCCGAGATCAGCAGAGGCCCAGGTCTTACTAGCACCGGCTGCGGAGGATTCTTCTGCCTTCTCTGCTGCTGTTCGTGCCGCCGCTGTAGCGCCCGAGGGATGCGCACTATTGGCAAAGGTTCTTCTGGAGAGCTGACAACCAGGTCTCTCCGGGAAGCCACGAGCAACCGAGTCGCGAGCGTTAACAGCCGCTTCGAACGTGCCACCGCCATATTTTCTTTCGCGAAGGAGCGACGCACAACAATGACGTCACGGGAGCGCCACGCGGTGCGTACGGTGGCCTGCAGGACTTAAGGCTGGCGGGGCTTGCTAAACGTGACTGGAGTGCAACTGTGCGGAGTTTTGTCGCGGCGAGGCAGGTTGGTCGCAGTAAGACGTGGAAACGTCTAATCTCGGGTAGACGCGTATGGTAAAGTGCTCAGTGGGAGCAGGTCTCGGGAGTGGCGACAGGAGGCGACTGTTGGGCTCAGGACTCTTGGGATGGGCAAGGGGGGCGGGTTGAAAGTACCAGGTCCCTGCGATTCTCCCTTATAGGTCTCCTCGCGACAGTGACAGCTTGCACATTACCGCCCCACCTTCGAAGTTGGAGTCGTGTTTCATTAGCTGTGTCTTCGTGCACGGTCTGGTAAGAAATATCTGTTGATAGTTGAAATGAATTGGTCGGGCTTAGGGCCTGACACAAGGGGTGGCCCCGAATAGATCTAGGACTGGTGAACGTGCTGCCCTTCAGCTGATTCTCTCAATGAAGTGTGGAGTAAGGTCCCCAGGCTTTATTTCAAATAGATCCATTTCTCTAATTTTCTTGCTCCACTCTTGGTACTTCTTATTTTGAACCTAGACTCCTTCGGCGCCCCTCACATTCATTCACTTCCTTCCCAGTCCTACATTTTAAATTACTTGTTTAATAGGAGAAGACCTTGCTACTTACTATACCTAGGCACCAGTCAACTGATATGTGGCTTGTGTAACATAGCCTTGGTCAGGCAGGATATTTTACTTGAAATAAGATGGCAAAAAACCGCAAATCAAACAAAACTCATAAACTACCTTTTTAGTTTATCTTGAAAGGAACAGCTCAGGGAAATGGGTGTCAGATTAAGTAAGAGTCAGTGGACCAGAGAGAGGCTCTTAAGTTCAACCAAGATGCACTTTAAAGGCAAGAATGGTGGGACTTCTTGCATTTTTTGAGGATATTATAAAGAGGGGCCAGTCCGTGGAAGGGGACAGCGTTCTTGGAAAATCAGAGGGTCAAAAAGGAAGAGGAAGACCTTCAATGAGTTGGATTGATACAATGACTGCAGCAGTGGAAATTGTGAGGATGACACAGGATCAGGCAAGGTTTTTGATCCTGTTGTATGTATGGTCATTATCTGTTGGTGTCAGCTCAATGGTACATAACAACAACAAAAACCCAGAGAAAATATATTTGTTTCTTAGAATATTACTAAAGATATAAACAACTTAAAATATTCCAGATACCATTTTGATGCATGAGTAAGTAGACTTTCTGGAGAATTCTCAAGTTAAACTAAGGAAAGAGAGTTTTGGGGATTGATAGATGACCATCCATTAAATAAAGCAGTGGTTCTAAAGAGGGGATCTTTTCCCCCTTTGGGGACATTTGACAATGGTTGAAAATTTTAGTTGTTGTATCTGGGAAGGTGTAGCAGGCATCTAGAGAGTAGAGATCAGAAATGTTACTAACATCTTACAATGCACAGAACAATCTCCACATCAAAGAAATACAAGGCCCAAAATGTCTGCCATGCACTCTTTATCAACCCTGGAATAGAGGATGAAGAAGAAAGATTACAGACAGGCTCTCAGCTTAGATGGGTGGGTACATCTGCCAGAGTCTCTCCTGGGTACATCTGCCAGAGTCTCTCCTGGCCTTTCCCTGTCCGGGACTGTTGCAGGTACTCTAATGCCATTGTTTCATGCCATTGGGATCAGAAATCTTGAGCCACCTGAAAATCATACATATGAAGAAGGAGTGGGTCAAAATGAATAAGAGAAGTTTAAACCCACGCTGCCAGGTTGACTCAGACTCATGGTGACCGTTGGATTTCTGAGGATACAAATGTGATTGGAAGTAGACTCCTCTGTCTTTTTTACCAAGGACTCGAACTGTCAACCTCTATCTTAGCTGTTCAGTATGAATCTAGTATGGTACTAAGACTCCTCAGAGAACTAAAAGGAGAATATAACTAGCCTTATGTGTTTGAGGGACATCACCTATGGAAGAGAAAAGAAGTGTCCGACATGATGCACCATTCTGGAAAGCAGAACCGGAATACATGTGTGACAGGGAGTTAGCTTCTAAACTTGATATAAAGAACTGCAGTAGCAAGTTAAATTGCCAGAGTTGTCTTGAGGGTCCTGAATTTCTTATTATTGATAAGTTCATGTATAGGCCGGTGACCACTGGTGGGTGGTATGACTGAGTTGACTTGAAAGAGAGTCCAAGATTTTGTGATTTTTAAAAGCTCATTCTCTGTGCTTGCTTGCTGAATGACTATTTGCCTGTCTGATGGAACAGGTTTCATTCATTTCCATATGCCACTGTCTTTCAGATAGAAAACAATTACTTTGTACCAAGCCAACACAGATAAATTGGAAGGATTCTTAGAAAAGGATAATACAAAACTATATATTTGTGATTGGGTTTTGTCTAAGTATTTCAGGTCAGGGTTATCTTTTAACTGTTGCTTTCTTGTGATAATTATGTCATTACAATAAAGTTACATCAAAATTTTAGAATTTACACAATTTTAGACTTAGAGGCTGTAATTTAAGAAGTCTGAGCCTGTAATTTAGGATGTCTGAGTCTGTTCCTGCTCATGGCCCCTATTTTCATCTTCTCACTTCATGCCTTGCTTCCTAGGGTATCAGAAATAGCTCTTTCCTCCTGACCACAGTAGACATTGAGTTACCTCTAAGTTATTATTGACACACAGTTATTATATGGTACATCTGTTGTAGTCTCTTTACTGCCATTTAGCCCATTCCAACCTATAGTGATCTTAACATTGAGTGACCATAACATTTAGAAAAATAGGAATCCCAGAACACTTAATTGTGTTTATGCAAAACCTATACAAAATCAAGAAGCTGTTGTCTGAATTGAACAAGGGAACACTGAATGGTTTAAGTCCTGAAAGGTGTGTGGTATGGGTTTCAGAATTGTTTCCTTTCTCTATAACTATAACATGAACACATAATTTGAGAAGCTAGAATGTATGAAAAAGAAAGTAGTATGAGGATTGAAGGAAGACTCTTCAAAAGCTTGAACTATAGAGATGACACAACTTTGCCTGCAGAACATGAAGAGGAACTAAAGCACATACTGAAAAAAGACTAAAGACTATAACATCAAGAAAACAAAAATCCTTGCCACTGGAGCCATAGGCCATGGTCCCATATCATGAAATGATTGAAGTTGGCAACAATTTCATTTTACTTAGATCCAGAATCAACACCTCTGGTAGCAGCATGCAAGAAATTGGAAGATGTATTATATTGGGAAAATCGTCTGTCAAGAACTTTTTTAAAGAGCAAAGATAATCATTTGTTAAAGATTAAGGTGTGGCTGATTCATAATAGTTCCACTGAGAGATGAGGACAGTGAAAACAAGAAGCTCCTTGTAGTCAAGAGTTTGGTCATTTCTCTTTTTCTCCCACCAAGAATTTTGTAAATTACTTTGATACTAAAAGAGCTAATAAGAGATGTTTTTTTAGCTCAGGAGTAGTCTTGAGAGCATGTGGAAGGTTGAAAACCCTGATAATGAGAACAGTTAAACCTTTACTAAGTTGTTACAAATACTGTATGTACATCATCTTATTTATTCTTTGCAGAATCCCCTCTCACCTGTGTTCTGTTGGAAACTCATATCCCAGAGGGGAAAACTGAAGCGTGGCTGGATTGACCTGCCCAGGGGACAGTGTAGGATTCACATGCAAGCCTGTACGCTTGTTTAATTTCAGAGTCCAGAATCTTCACTACAACGTCTCTTCTTTCTCTTAACAAATGTGTTATTTCAACTTTCTGTCACACATCTGGTGTGGGAAAAAAATTCTTTTAATATTTATGTTTGATTTTCATTTTAACTCTAAATTTTTATTTTGTAAAACAAAATAACATGTTGTAAGGATGTGGGGAATTTGGAAGCCTTATCCTTTACAAGATAAAGGAATACAAGTTGTTCAACTGCTGTGGAAATCAGTGTGGCAGTTCCTCAGAAAGCTGCAAATAAAACTACCTTATCAGCAACTCCACCCCAAATATAAACCGAAACACTTGTATGTGAGTGCTTATTACAGCACAATTTACAATAGCTAAAATGTAGAAATAATCTAAATGACCATTAATAGATAAATGTTGCAAACCAGACGCAGGGACACAAGGAAATGAATTCTGAAAAGGAGGGAAGGCTGAGGCAGCTGTGGTCCTCTCACAGTTTAGCACTGTGAAAACCCCTTTTTCAGTCTCTTTATGGTTTTTATTTAGTTTAAGGCAATCCTAAAAAAAATCTCTGGGGATTATATATTCGTTATACTTAAATGTTGCCAATGAACAATGGGTAAGCTTGATCTTTAAACTAAGACCAAGGTTCAGACACGACATCCCCTCCGGTGGGAGGCTGGGTGGAATTCTCTGTTTGCAGAGGGCATCCAATATCTCCTCTGAGGGGCTTGGCGGCATTGTCTGTTTGCAGAGGGTGCTCAGTCCTGTCTGAACTCTGATCTCAGTTGCAGCCCAGTTATGGCTATTCTGGGGAATCCACAAATAAACGGATAAACAAAATATAGTGCAAGCATATAATGAGTCCTACTCAACCAGTAGGAGAAATGAAGTCTACTACATGATACAGTATGGATGGCACTCTAAGACCCTATGCTAAGACAGTCACAAAAGGACAGATATTGTATGACTTCACTTAGCTTAGAACACAAGAAAAGGCAAATGTGCAGAGAGCAAAGTTTATTAATAGTTACCAGAATTGAGTGAGAAAATAAAAAAAGAGGTTAATAGTGATGGTGAAAATGCATTAATTAAGTGTGGAGTTATTGTAATTGTCAAGAAGTTGTACACCTGTAAGAAAATGGAATTAACCAAAGTTGTGAGAAAGATACATTTACAATGATTTCAGGAAGAGAAAAAGAGTACCTATTGAAGCTGTTTATGTACAACTGGGTATTCTATGGGATTTACTTTCCTGGTTTGGAGGTTTAGGGTCATGATTTTATGGACATCCTAGTTAATTGCGAAAACATGTTTAGTGCTTCTATTCCACCTCCCGTTTATTTGCATATTACTTGTGATATTAGAAGCTTGCAGGCAGCCATTCAAAGCACAATTTGTCTATTCTTGAAACAACTGAGAAAGAAAGAGGATCAGGTGGAAGATACAGAATGAGTAAGTCATTGCCTCTCTGAAGATTGCTCCCATGAGACCATATGAACAAGACGGTTCTGGCTACTATTATTGAGCATTTTGGTCAAAGAATTCCAACTAGAAAAAGGGAAATGCAGAATAGGATTTCCAATTCCCTTTGACTGCAGACTTTCTAGAACTGGAGGATGAATAAATCCTTGAAACTATTGCCTTGAAATGCTTAAACCAGGAATATCTTTGAAGTCATCCTTTAACTGAACAGTAGCTTATCTTAATAATGAAATGGGCTACCGTGAGCATTATGCTCTTTTAAAAACTGTCAAATTGGCAGCAACAGCTTGAAATATTAGGCACGTTAGAGGGTAGGCAGTTTATGCCAGTTAAGCCCATGCCAACTATTCACTTCTGACTCCACCACCTGGCAGGACAGAGTAGAACTACTCAAAGAAATTCCAAGACTGCAAGTCATTTACGGGACCCAGCAGCCACATCTTACTCCTTAAACACCGACCACAACCTTTTTTTTGGGGGGGGGTGGGGTGGGGTGGGAGGTTAGCCATTAATTCTTTGACCTACGGGCAAAGGTGTTGTGGGAGTTAATGAGAAAAGAGTGGGAATTTCCAGGTAACCAATGAGTTTAACCCACAAAGTTTTGGTAGAGGGGTAGAGAGATTGGATGCCAGCCTACATTAAGGTGAGAAATGAAAAGAAAGTGGGATATAATATCAGCACCTGTGAGCAGAACAGGCATTGCCAGCCTTGTGACTGTTGAAAGGGAATCGTGTTTTGTTAGAATACAGTAATAATAGTAGTTCTCACTGGAACATGTGATTTAAAAAAAATCTTTTTATTCCTATTGCCTCTACTTTCAATGAATTTCTTTAATATAACAACTTCTACAACCTGCTACCAGGTCTGAGCTACCATCAACTCGCATGTTGATTACTTCAGAGCCTTCTGACTATTCTCCTAGCATTTAACCCTTGCTCCTTAGTTTGCTCTTAATACAACAAAATGATCAATTAAAAACAGATCATGCTTACACCCATTACTTAACACGTATTGATGTTGTGCCATTGAGTTGATTACAGCTTAAAGTGACCCATGCAACAAAGTACGGTTTTCTTGGCTTCAGTCTTCATGAGAGCAGGTTGCCAGCTCTTTATCAAGGAGAGCTGTTGCTGTATTTGAACTGTCAGCATTTCAGTTAGCTGTCTAGCACTTAACGAGGTCTCCTTTTAAGTCTTGTTACCGATTCCTATTTCACTCTTAAGTAAACAGAGTCCTTAGAAATACCCTACAAGACCATACATAATGTGACCTCTGCTGTCATCTGCTGGTGACATTATCTGTGCATCTGACTTGTATCACTTTCTCTTCCCTTCTCTCTGCTTAAGCCACAGTGACCTCCCTGCTTTTTCCCTAGTATTACCAGGCAAGCTCCTACCTCAGCACCTTTGCACTGACAATTTCCTCTCCTGGGCACTCTTGCCAGGTCCCATATTGGCTTACTCCTCAAGCTCCTTCACATCTTTGCTTGAATACCGTCTTCTCAATAGAGCTCACTTTTATGTTGCTGTATAAAATTGCAATCCACGTGCAGCATTTTTTTAATCCTTTGTACTTGTACTTCTGTACTACCATCTTTCTATACTGTATAATTTATTGGTTGATTTTTGTTTGTGTTGTATCACTGAAATGAAAGTCTACCAGAGGAGAGATTTTCCTCTGTGGTGTTGTTTAATGTATCTTAAAAGGCTAGAATAGTGGTTGACACGGAATAGGTACTAAAGTAAGATCAAGTATGGTGAAAAGAAGGAAACCATCCTGGGTTAATGGAAGAACGAAATTGTCTCCATTTGGATTTCTGATTCTTGTTTTCCTCTTCATCAGGCCAGAACAGAGAGTCAATGATTGTGAACAGCGTCTCACTGTGCTACAGCAACAAACTCATCTTAGCCCCCATGGTTCGGGTAGGGACACTTCCCATGAGGCTGCTCGCCCTGGATTATGGAGCGGACATTGTTTACTGCGAGGTAAGGGACTCCTGATCTCCCTGGACTGCTTGTCCACAACAGCAGCCTCCTTCTTTGTGTGCTGATGTGATTAGGAGTTGGGGGAGGATACGCCAGAACTCACTTCACAGGTACTGACGGAAGGCAAAAGTAGGAAAACATGCATGAGTTTTCTACATCCTGCTGTAAAAATGGCATAGTGGGCATACATACGCGTCTGTTCTCTAACTTCAGGAAAGGAGAATCAGCATCAGGCAAAGCTGATTGTTCTAATGGTGGAGGTGAAACATACCTCTTACCTCTAACCTACTACCAATTCTGACACCATCCATCTTTATAATGTCAACCTCTGCTTTTCTGTTGAGTTTGATAATTTGTTGCAGTGACCACACAGAACTCATAGATCATACTCACAGTTAAGGAGCTTATTAGAGAAATAATGTTTCAACTCAAGATATGAGGATCAAGAAGCATGTAGGGAACAGTCTCCCTTTTTCATCTCTCTCAGTTCACCTTGGTGATGCAAGGCTTCTCCAGGTCCATTAGCCTTTGGCCTGTTCTCTTCCGTGCTCAGTTGAGTGTCACCACAGTCTGACTCCTCTGATAAGTGTTGGGTAAAGCCTCCTGCCTGAATGCACTCAGACACTCAGCTCCCTTCCTCTGTTGGCTGGCACATCCACTGTACCCACTTTATTCCATAGACAGAGCCCACTGTGCCATTTTGTGTTGGTCTCCTGGTTCTGCTGTTACCATTTCTCTGTTATTTCTTCTCATTGTAACTGGTATTATAAATATGTTTGCCTCCTAGTTATAGAGGGTTTTTAATACAGGGATCTTAGATTCATAGCAGTATTCTCAAGTTGTTGGGTTTGAACCACGGACCTTTTTGGTACATTAACCATTGTACCATCAGAGCCCCGTAATCATTGTGTCAATCCTTTTTGTAGAGGGTCCTTCTTTTTCTGACTCTTCACTTTTCCCAGCATGATGTCAAATTGCTCATATTCAAGGCTATTGGTATAAACAATTGTGTATCTTGGGTATTAACCTGGGCTTCATTTCTAGAGCTTTAAATACCACCTGTACCTTAATAATCTCTGGTGGTCTATTGCTTACAATGTTAGTGGTTCAAATCTACCACCTGCGCCTTGGGAGAAAAATAGACAGTCTTCTCCTGTAAACATTTACAGTCTCAGAAACCTGGTAGAGGATTGTTATTGTTATGAGTCAGAATCTACTTGATGACAGTCAGATTGGTTTTGCTGGTAGCATAATCTGTAACGTGTTAACCAAAAAAGGCTTTATTCATGACTTCTACAGTTAGACTCCTCCAGTGGTTGGTGGAACCCAATAGTTTCTACTTACACAATTCAGTGACATTGATTACATTTATTTGCAAATGGTACAATCATTCTCATTATACTCTTCAAAAGAGTTTCTTTCCTTGTACTGTCCCCTAAGGCTCTTATCTAATTATTCTAGTTACTGTTGTAAATTTGATCCCATAAAGATAAATCTTAAAATAGCAAAATGCTTAAGTCAGATATCTTTTATTATTTATTCCATTTTAAGTTTACTTAAGGGAGTATCTTTGGTTTACATTTTAAAGATTATCTCAGGGCAACAGTTTCAAGTATTCATCCATTCTCCATGGGTCCAGAAAGTCTAGGGACCATCTGAATTTGAAATTCTGTTCTGCATTTTTCTAATTTTGATCAGGATTCTTAAATGAAATCTTTGATCAAAATGTTCAGTAATAATAGCTGAATGCAGTTGTCCATGGTGGCAGCAAACCACATCCTTCATATCTTCCTCCTCTTGATTCTCCGTCTTCCTCTCTTGCTTCAGGTGAATAGAGACCAATTGCCGTGCCTTGGATGGCAAGCTGTAAGCTTTTAAATGTCCACCTGTTTTCTCAGCTGTCTCTGCAGAGAAAATCACTGACTCCAGGTGGTCTGTGCTAGGTCCTGTCCATCTTTTGCCATACCACACTGATTCTTGGGGTCTGGATGACTACTATATGTCCAAACTTCCTGGTCATGGTTATTTCTTTAGTCTGGCCCAGAGGACAGGAGATACACAGTGGTCTGGATGTAGCTTAGAAAGAGTAGATCCATCGCCACCCAGGACATACATTAAACCTGAGGGTTGTAGTAAGGTGACAGTCTCATTTGTCATCAGATGTTCAGTGTAGATTCTTCCCATGTGCCCAGGCCTGATTAGTGCCCTCTGATTCCTCCCCAGGAGCTGATCGACCTCAAGATGCTTCAGTGCAGGAGGGTTGTCAATGGTGAGTGCAGCTCTGGCCTTGGGATTGTGTTTGCGGCTGGCTATGTCCAAGCAGTCCCACCACTGCCCTTGCTTGGGAGTGACGGCATCCTGCCAGGGCTCTTCCTGCCTCATTGCATGTGTGGTTCTGTGGGCCAAAGGCTCTCTTGAGAGCAGTCATTGCTCTGTAGAGCCTGGGACCAAAAGCCATGTGTGAAATAGTCTAAGAATGCCTCCCTTCCATTGTCTTGCTGGTGGAGCCTTTGCCACATTTCATAGTAGAGCTTTGTAACCTTGGACGGACAAGGATGTCTTTGGCTTTGACACTGGCCCTGGCTCAGCTTGTTCCTAGTTATGTGACTTTGGGCACATCTCATCTCTTTTCCTCAATTTCCCTTAGATGGATGCAAAATGAAAACCCCAATTGCTGCTTTATTTAAATCATAGATTGGAGTAAGATTCAAAAAAGAAAAATTACCTATGAGTATTTTGCACACATTAAGCTCTGCAAATGGAAGTGGTTGTGATGAATTGTGGTTTTTTAAAATACTTTATTGATGAGGTTGATCTTGCTTTGACTAGCATTGTATACTTTGAGGTTTTGAAATATGTGTTTACTTGTGAAATGTTAATATATATTTATTGCAGTTGAATCAGAACCAGCTTATAGCTGACCCTCTGTTGCGTTTCTCAGGCTGTAATTCCCACCAGAGGAGATTGCATATCTTTAGTGCTCAGAGCTGTTGATGGATTTGAACTACCAGAGAGGCATCTCTACAGACTACCAGAGCTTCTTCGTCTTTTATAATTAGAAAAATCCAAATATAAAGAAAAAGAATATATGCCCTCCCATGGGCCCATCTCCCAAATTTGACATGATTAACACATAGTCTGATTGTTTCACCTAAAACCAGACTCATCCCACACTGGATTATTTTGAATCAACTGGATTATTATGAATCAAAATAGTCATAATATCACTTCATCCATAATTGTACAGTCCATATTGCTATAAAGGAATCCTGTAAATCAGTGGTTAAGCGCTTAGCTGCTCACTGAAAGGCTAGTTTTTTGAACCCACCAGCAGATCTGCAGGAAAAGGTGTGGCGGTCACCTCCTGTCAGGATGGGAGCCTTGGGAACCGCTGAGGCAGTTAGTGCTGTTGTGCACTGCAGCGTCGCTGTCCGTTAATGTGGATAATGTGGACTTGACAGCAAAGAGTTGCATCTGTAAAAGAGAAGGTCTTGTGTTAAAAAGCATAACCATAATGACATTATCACGTTCCCTTCAAAATCAAGTAATTTTTTACATTGGCAACTTTCTAGTTAATGTTCAGTTTTCAATTTTGTCTTTTGTTTCCTTAGATTCATCTTTTCTTCTTGTATTACAGAAAACTTCAGTATTATACATGTATGTAACCTTATTGTCACTGGTGGTGTGTGCCCTTTAGTGAGAGCCGACTCATAGCTGACCCTCTAGCAGGTTTTCAGTAAATCATATAGGAACAGACTACCCCTCCTTCCACTCGGAGCAGCTGATGGATTCAAACCATGTGCCTTTGGGATTGTAGCTCAGCTTCTTACCACTAAGCTACCAGAAGTCCCTGTTCTGATTCTCTGTAACCTATAAACAAAAATCTATTCCCACACCTCATGAGTCATGTCACAAAGACAGACTATGTAAATATGTTGAGCTTTTTTTTAACTTTCTGTTGTGATTTTAGTGAAAGTTTGCAAATTAATTTTCCATTTAACAAATTATAAGTAATTTTGTTTCATGATTTTAATTTTTTTCTTCTCCTCCCCCCCAAAATGGTTTGTTGTTGTTGTTGTTATGTACCTTCAAATAGGATCCGACTGGCACAGGAGGAGATTGCTCTCCTTGGATTCGAACCATGTGCTTTCAGGATTGCAATGTAATGACTTTGATTTTTTTTTTTTTTACTTTAATGAAAGTTTACAGAGACTTTGGATTTCCATTCATTCATTGTTGCACAACTTTGATCTTTTTATTGTAAGGATTTTTTAATTTTAAGGATCCTTACAATGTAACAGCACTCCTCCCACTTTCTCCATGTGTTTACCATTTCCTTTTTTTTTTTCCCCAGAAGATGATAAAGTTTATTAGTTCCTCCAATAAACTCTGATTAAGCATTTACTCTGTGACTGGCTAGTTGTGTATGATACCATTTCCATTTGACCCTCTTTCCTATCCTTTACTTCCTTCCGAGTTTTATCTTTGGACAAATACTGACTGTTTGATCACATGTAGTTGATAGTAGTAAGAAGTTTGGTCTCCCTCATGTTATTATTGTTCACCTTATAGGTTGTTGTTTGGCTGAAAGTGGAGTCATGGGGGTGAACTCACTGCACTGAAAGGTGACTGAGGACTGAAGTCTCACCAGTCCTTGAAATTTTTTTTTCTACATATGTGCTGACATGCACATGAAAATATAACATGCTTGTATATATTGTGTCTCCCAAGTGGCATTTTATATATAATAAAACATTTGTCTTTTCAGCCATTGTTGGGTTTGTTTTTTTTAATTATTTTTTGTATGTACCATCAAACCAGATCTGACTGGTACAGGAGGAGATTGCCCATTCTTTTCCAGCACAGCATCTGGTGGATTCGAACCGCATACCTTTGGGATTGCAGTGCAGCTTCTTGTCAGCCATTATTATGTGTACAATTTAATGACATTAATTACAGTCACCATACTGTGCAGCTATTGCTACTATCTCTTTATACATGTTGTTTTGCCACTTCTTTTTGACTAGGACAATTTCCTCTGTCAGTATAAATGTCTGAGCTATAATTTATTTCACATATGCTTTAGAGGAGGTTTCCATCATTATGCTCTTACATGTAAAATTGTTGTTGTTGTTGTTGTTGTTGTTGTGTGCCATTGAGCCAGAACCGACCCATCGCTGACCTTCCAGCAGGTTTTCAGAGACAGATAATTGCACGGGAGGAGACTGTCCATCCTCCTCCCACATACATAAAATGCATCCTGTTTTTTTTTATAGTTCTTCTCCCAGACTCCTACCGGCCAATCATGAGTCCTATCTGCTGTCATAGGATCACATCTATTACCATTGCCTTCTCTTTTTAAATTCTCTAATTTATTCAGTGTTGGGGTAATAATTATAACTTTCATTTATGTAAATTCTTATGTGCATTAAAGGTCTGATTTAGTTCTCAAAACAGCCTTTGAGGAGATTCAGAGAGGCACATAAGGATGAATGGATGTCAGAATGACAGGGAAGAAGTGGGAAAAGTGTAATTACATTGTGGGTGTTGAAATTAATGATGTTAAAAAAATGTGTATGAGTGGTTGAATGACAAATTAATTTGTTCTAAAGCCCTCCCTCAAATCGGAAAATAGATAAAAGGAAAAAGACCAAATATCTCAGGCTTTAGGGTGGAAATACTCCTTATCTATCCCGTTCACATCTCATAATACTCATTCTGAAAGCTAACAATGGTAGTACCTATCAGAGACCTTCATTATGAATAGCAGATGAGGTCATCTAGTCCACTCATGGTATCTGGTACATACAGAATAATTAAGAAATGGCACTTTGGCTGAAACAGCACACAACAACAACAACAACAACAAACCTTTGCTGAACTTTGAGTGACATCTTGGAAAATTTGGGCAGAATCTGAGACACAAGACAAAGTTTGATGTTTGTATACTTTTTCAACATTTGCATAATTACCAAGCATACTAAGCATTCCTAAGTACTAAGTGCACAGACCAAAATATGCAGTTTTACAAATAAATGTAAAGCAAACAGTCATGTAGCCATAAGGTAAGAAAGCAGACCATCATCAGCTTCCTCTATACAAAAGGTGATATACTTGCAGAATCTGCATTTTTCCGTTCAAGGTGATAATTGAACTGTGTTTTCTTCCAGGAATTAGCCTAGGTTGAAGGTGCTTTTTATGAGTGGCCTTATGTTTGTGTTTTCTCATAGAGGTGCTCAGTACAGTGGACTTTGTCGCCCCTGATGACCGAGTGGTCTTCCGCACCTGCGCGAGAGAACAGAACAGGGTTGTCTTCCAGCTGGTAAGAGGTCTCACTCCTGGAAGTCAGCAGTTATCTGTTACCTCCCTCCTGTCTCAAATGAAATGTACTTAATTGTAGACATTGCCTACATGACACAATTTATTCATTTCTGTTTGTCATTTCTTACATTGATTATCATTCAGATCATGGTTTTGGGTTTTTTTTTTAAATGTAGTCTGTCTCTTTTTCCTTTAGAAAGAAATTAAATTTCCTTCCAGAAATAGTCATGCTGTGTGTTAGGGTTGTGATGACCTAAAGCCCTCTTCCCTCCCTTCTTTCCCTGACGTTGTCTTTAGGACATCACTTGATGCTTTTTCAGAAATAGTTCCTTCATGATGCTTAAGTCTTTAATTCCATCTGTGCTGTTACTGTTGTGCACTTTCGAGTCGGAACCAAGTGATAGCTGACCCTCCCACGGGTTTTCAGAGGCAGTTAATCACGCAGGAGGAGACTGCTCGTCCTTCTCCTGTGGAGCACCTGGTGGCCTCACATTGTGTGGCTTCAGGTTTGCAGCAAAGCTTCTTGCCACTAGGCCACCGAGTTCCCTGATGCTTAAGTTTTTAAAAGATGTAAAAGAGTGAACAGAAATATAATAAGACAAATACAACAAAACATTAACTCTAGTATTTTAAACGGTAAACTTCTTTGAACTTTTCTGTATTTTGAAAATTTTCCTAATGAATCAGTGGGAGAGATGAGTAAGTGATCACACCGCTGACGTCACTTTCTAGGCCCTCAGGATTCACTTTTCCTGGGCTGGTGAGCTAGTCCAGTGTGCTGGCTGCTGAAGAGAACACAAGGCCAGTTCTCTTTGCTGGGGTGTGTGTGTGTGTGTCTCTGTGTGTGTCTGTGTCTCCTATGTCAGGACAGTGGTTGATGCAGCCTCTTGTGTTCCTAGGGGACTTCAGATGCAGAACGAGCCCTTGCTGTGGCCAGGCTGGTGTAAGTTCTTCCTCTTTGGGACTGCCTTTGCCTCTCCTGCAGGCTGTGAGGCCTGATGTCACTGAGGACCTTGGAGCTGACCCACCCTTCTGCCACCTGTTAGCCCATGACTTCTGTTCCAGGGCTAGAGTGTCTGGCTTCTTTCTCTGTGGCGTTTGAGGCCTGGTCTGGGACCCATGTCCCCCTTGTGTCCGAATCCCAGAGAACATCTGTGTGGGGTGACTTTCAGTGTTTGTTCCTAAGGCTCCCTTTCCAGGGACTCACAACTGTGTGTCCTGAGGGTTTAAAGCTCATGAAGTTTTGGTAAGACTTACTGCTTTCTAAATTAAAGAAGAGTGGTTAAAGAAATGGGCTTTGGAGTTAGATAGACTTAGCTGGAATTCTGATTTTGTGACTTATTAACTGTGACTATGGGCAAGTTACTTAAACTTGCTGAAAACTTGGTTTCCTTGTGAATAAAATGAAACCAATTAACTGGTAGAGAGTGCATGAGCACAACATGGAGAATCCAGAAAGAGATAACACAAATAAATGTCTTTGCAGTAAGTGCCAGCTATTGTTAAGTCCACGAAGGATTAGGAAGAACTCAGGCAGTAATTGCTGCTGATCAAAGAGCATTCACCAGACACATGGCCAGGATGAGGCAAGAGTGCTTATGCATCTCAGAATTGTTTGGTGTAAGCCGGCCGTGCAGCTCAGTGAACAGATAGTCCTGGAACTATCCAGAAGCAATGCTCTGGGAAAAGGCCCTTGTGTGGATATCACCTTTCTAAACTAACAAATGATTTCAGGACCCTGGTGGTAAGATCGAAGTAGTCAAGTTACCGGATACAATTCTGAAATAGCAAAGTCCCCCTCGGCCAGTCCTTTTTATAGCACATGACAGGACTGCTGATCTGTTCTCTTGACCTCTGCTCAAAGGAGGCGTTGTACATTGAGATTTCTCTTCAGCCTTTGTCGTTGGGGTTGGTATGCCTCCTCGGGTCAGGGACATGATGAGGGCGTGACACACAGGAACAGCTACTCCATGCCTTTGACGCTTGTCTTCTCCCCTGCAGCTGAATATTCATTGCCTTTTCTCTTCTTGTTTTTTCTAGAGAGAATGATGTAGCTGGTATTGATGTTAACATGGGCTGTCCAAAAGAATATTCCACCAAGGTAAATGAATTTAGTCTTTAGTCTTTAATCTGCTTGGCTCCACAGTCAACACTCTTGGCACCAGTAGCCAGGAAATTAAAAGATGTATTACAGTGGGAAAGTCTGCTGTTAGGGACCTCTCCAGGGTACTGAAGAGCAGTGGTGTCACTCTGGAGACTAAGGTGCATCTGATACAGGCCAGGGTCTTTGCAATCACTTGTTATGCATCAGAGAGTTGGACAATGACTCGGAAGGATAGAAAAAGAATTGATGCGTTTGAGCTGTGGTGCTGGAGAAGAGTATTGAATGTACCATGGACTGCCAAGAAAACAAACATATTAATCCTAGAGAGGGTTAAACCAGGATGTTCCTTGGAGGCAAGGATTCTGAGGCTTCGTCTGACATACTTTGGACGTGTTGTAAGGCGAGACAGGTCCTTGGAGAGAGACATCATGCTTGGGATGGTGGAGGGATCACGCAAGAGGGGAAGACCCTCTATGAGGTGGATTGATTCAGTGACTGGGATAATCGGGATGGGTCTGTCAGAGGCAGTGCGATTGGCACAGGATAGAGCAGTGTTTAGGGCTGTTGTACATAGTGTCGCTATGAGTCGCAGGCGACTCGATGGCACATAGCAACATCAACAACAAATGAATTTCTCTACGGTGGTGTTGATAGGTGCTGCCAAGCCGACAGCTCATAGTGACCCTGTGAGCATCGGATCTGACCCCTGCCCCACCTCATAACCTCGGCTGTGCCTGAGCCTATTGTTACAGTCACTGTATCAATCCATCTTGTTGAAGATACTTCTCTCTTTGATCTTCTACCTTTCCCAGTATGATGTCTTATCATGCCTAACATGTGCGAGATGAAGTTTCACCATCCTTGCCTCTAAGGAGTGCCCTAGTGCACTTCCTCCAAGACAAACTGGTTTATTCTTTGGACTAGATCCTGTCCTAGGTGGGCAGAATAATCAAAAGGACATTATTAGACCAACTGGAAAAATTGGTACATGGACCATGGTAAATGAGATCATTGTATTGTATCAGTGGAAGTTGGTGAAGTTAGTAACTCCTCTGTCATCATTATTTGTATTTTTTTTTAATATTTTTTTTTATTGGGAAAAACATATTGGGGGTACAAGGAGGTGAGGGCTGGGGGCAGAAGGGCGAGGATGAGCCAGGATGCAGCCGCAGAGCTGCACAGCTTGGTCGGTGGGGGGAGCAGGTGAAGGAAACGACGAGGGTCCAGTGGGGACCAGATGCCACAGAGGAATGACAGGCATTCTCCAATAGCAATCAAACCAACTGTCCCATTGATTTGGGAATTGGATGCTGACTCTCTGGCTTCTTCATGCTGAACAGGGGCGTAGATATAAAGGGGAGAAGGGAGGACGCTTTATCACCCTACTGGTGGTCTTGGGTTACAGCTGCTTGCCTTCTTGCTCTGTCAGAAGACATCCTCCTGTCATTTGCTCCCCTCTGGACCGCAAAGTGTCCTCCCAGGTGGGTCCAGTGGGGATGGCCGGCCGAACCCAGAGGCTCCATCTGCCTCTGCTTCCCCAACTGTCAGCTGTATTTCCCTTCTGTCACTGGCACTGGGTTCAGGGTCAATTATGGAGCAAAACTCAAGGTTACCCATAGGAAAGGGAGCAAACCCAGAGAGAACAAACTTGTGAGTTACAAACAGAAGGGCCTTGAGGGTGTTGCCCTCAGGTTCACTGGCGGGGGG